TATATTATATTATAGTATAATATAATATAGTCGTAATTTTTAACTATCCATAGCAATTCAACCTCATAATTTACCAAACACTATTACACTGATTTTAAAACCAACACAGCTACTATAATTATAGTTTTTCAAACAATCAGCTGCTTCTTCCTTCAACACAGCTAAAAGTAATTTTTTAAAAATTTACAGCACTATCAAACTAAGCCTCTAACTTCTTAAGTTTAAAAGCAGCTTCTTAAAATATTAATGATCTGTGAGAAATGCATTAATTTTTTAAAAGAATTTTCAATTAAAATCACAAAATATAGTTTCTAAAAAAACACTTCTAAATGATTAAAATTTTTACCATTATTAAAATATTATAAAATTTATTTCAACACTTTTATTGTTTATTGACAAATTTAATAATCACTTGACTCATTAAGCAATAGCTTTTGTTTCTCCTTCTGGCCAAAAGCAAAAACAAATGCCATGTGAAACGGTCCATAGACCTTTACCATTTGTTATTTCTGATGGAGCTGGTTCCACCACAAATGCCTCTCAACATAAAATCTGCACCGTCAAAGCCTAATTTAGGAGACGTTTGATAAGAAGTTTCATATTATAATTTGAATCATGATTTGTAACAGTATTTTTTCTCATAAAAAATACACTTAAATTAAAAATAATTCTAATCTCATAATTTTAATTTATGAATCAAACGTCTCTTTAGTACAATTTATAGCCACTCTGTAGGTCCCACATTAGCGTTATCCGCTCGCCGCGTTACTGCTCTTATTGCCAAGGAAACTTCTTGTCAAGACAAGACGAGAAGGAACGACGGTGTTTCTCCTGTCGGAAGGGCTTACGGCAGGTCAAGAGTCGGAGGCCCAGATCTGTTTTCCGTGTTGGGCCTGTATTACGAAGGCCCATTTAGTATGTTGTTGCGAAGACGAGTAATGAGCGGGAGGAAATTCCCTCTTTTTAACTGCAAAATGAAAATCCTGAAGATTTCCGAGAAAAAAAAACCCTAGAAAAATTTCAGAAAGTAAAAAAGACATCTTTTCCGTGCCCTAATTGTTTCCACTGCATTTTGGGGGAGTGAGAGTGAGTTTAGGGTTGTTGCAAAAGAATTGATTTCTGTGGCGATTCTGCTTCTAAATTCTATTTTCTTGTTAAAAAGGATGGATTCGGAAGGTAACCGTTAGATAACTTTCTTCCTTTTCCTCTTTGTTAATTTAAGTTAGAAAGATTCATAATTTATAAATATCAAGAATTTTGAATGTTCCGCAGCGCAAAAATCTTCGTTGAACCCTACGGCAATGCTTGCTTCTCTCCTCGGTAGGCGAGCCAAGCTCCAAGACGAGCTTCGAAATATCGAGAGACAGGTTTTTTCTTCTCGTAGTATTTTAAATTGTTTTGAAGTTTTTTTTTTTTTTTTTTGAATTCTTGTTTATATTGTCGTTTTCTTGTTAATGTTTATGTGTGGTTGGCAAAAAATGGAAAGAAAAAAAAAAGAAACAGATATTATCAAGACTACGCCCTTATGCGTTTTTATGCATACTGTCCTTTTTTTGTTCTTTGTTGGGAATTTAGGGAATTAGTTTCTATGGATGAGGAATTGTTGTTGTTAGTTAATTTGTAAGTTGTAACTCCTTTCTTTAAAATGCAGGTGTATGAGATGGAGACTAGTTATTTGCAGGACCCTAGCCAATGTGGAAATGTATTAAAAGGCTTTGATGGATTTCTGTCGTCTTCCAAGAGCACTGCTCTGTATGGACAGGCTAAGATTTCTTAATTCTTTTCCTTCTTACTGTATTAATTTTACGACATTTGAATCGATGTGCAAAGAAGTTCTCTTCGGTTATTTTAACCGAAAATCTCTTCTATAGGCAATTAGTTATCCACTTCTCCTTCAAATTTCATTGATAAAGTTTCAATGTATTAGGAGTTATTTCCTGCTGCCTCTATCCTTATTTTGAAGTTTTCAACGCAACAATGTCGTGATTTTTTGTTCCCATACTAGGTGACTTGTTAGAAATGTTGTCAGACTTTGTTGCTTAGACAGACTGGTTTTGGTGCATTTGTTTGTTCTTTATGGATTGGCTCATATTAATGATCCTCCTTTTGTTACCTGAATAAAGAAAAAAAAAATCACGAGATTGATTTGGATTAGCTATCTTCTTCAATCTTCGGGGCATTCACATGTTGGTTATTACTTTCAGATACATATACATTGCTTCGCCATAGAAAAAAATGGTTTTGAATCTACACATTATACTCTTTCTATCTAAATTTACTACTTAAATGTAACTGAATTCTTTAAATCTTGTGGCTGCAGCTTGAAGCGGTCCAGGAAGTTTCAGCCTGAGGACAGGCTCTTCTCATTGTCTTCAGTCACATCACCAGCAGTATGTTTTCAGAACCTCGAATGTCCAGCAATTATGTCTCTTTCTTTATGTTTTCATTGTCTTTTTTGCTTAACTGTCTTTTCAAGAAGTTAGAATGTTCATTTGTATGACTCTAAAGTGAACTATGATAAGTGTCATCACATTTATATGTTTGAGAATAGGATGTAAGCATGGTTGCCTTTTTTAAAACAGAAACAATTTCTTGAATGTCCCTGTGGTTTTATACAAGAGGTTAATAACTTCTTATTCTTTCTTTTTTTCGTTTTTTTTTTTTGGCATTTTGTCAGGCTGAAGAACTTGCAGCAGGACGAGATGGTGAGCCTATTTACACAATAGCACCAAAAACTTTCCGTCCCTAAGTATTTATTTTTCCTCCCTTTATCTTTATGTTTCTCATAGATGGGAGATCGGACTTTGGTTCGGGCCGTCCTAAGGGTGGCGGGATATATGCTAATGGACAGTAAGTACCCTGCTAATCTGAGTCCATTCTATGTATTCTTAACACCAAATAAAGAAAAGCATAAAAACAAGACAAAACACTAAAGAAAGAAGGGCCGTTCTATGTATATGATTGGAAACAGCTGTTTATTTATTTATTTTGTTGTTTATCTGAGGAAACAGCTGTTAATTGTTATAGATTATTATGTCTGAGGGGCTTATGAGCTCCTTCAAACAGTGTTTTGAAAATCACATGTAATGTTGCAGAGGAAAGCCAAAGAAGGGAAGGCCGACACCTAGAGATACAAAGCGAATCAGGCCTAGCGAACAAGATTACGACTATGATGATGATCCTGAATTGACATTGTAAATGGAGATTGAAGAGTGGCTGATAAATGATAACAACACTCTCCACACAAGCTTTGCCCAAGTCAGAAGCCTCAAAAGATTGGATTTCGGTTTCTGAAATCATGGGTGGAGCAAGAAACATCTCTCAGGGAGAGAGCAAAGTCCACTTTTCACTCTTGTAGCTAATTTTATTTGAGGCCGCAAAGTATTAGTATGATCCCTGATAATTTAAAGCGGCTGTTTCTAATGTACAAAATAGCGTTTTCTAACCAAGCTTTTGATTGGCATATGCTAGCGGACAAGCATTGGCTCAGGCATTGTTAATTTTTAGTCATCAAAGACTGAAATTTCTTTGTGGACTTCTTGAGGAACTGTAGTTATACAAGATAGTAAATAGTAAAGATTATTTTCCATTCGACAAGAAAGAATCAAATAGGGAGGCCAAGAAATGATGTTGCAATTGGACTTATAGCGGATATGTCCCGAAAAGGTTAACCGATGAAAAGTTGGCCTTTGACATCTATATTAGTCGAAGATGATGAACAGTTTAACTGACAGCCAGATATTGCAGCAAAAAAACTGATGGCCACAGAAATCAAGCCTCACCTCTACGCATCCAAGAGCATGAAGGAGCAAAAACACACGGGCAGAATTATTATTTTTTTCCAATATATATATATATATATTTGGAAAAACTTAAACGTTCTTGGAGCCTTCTGTTCTTACAGTTAATGTAAAACGCTTTTTTGTTGTTGTTTATTTATCTGAATAATGCAAAACAGTTTTAGAGAGGTAATATTCTGGTGCTGGATAATAATAACATTCAAATATATTTTTTTCAGTTATATTCTGGACGGGTAATATCAGAAAAATGTTGCACTTTTAGATTTAGAGAAAGAAAGAGAACTAAATTCTTGTTATATTGTCGTTTTGCACATATAATCCAACGATAAATTAACACCAAACATCCTTCATATTGAAATTTAGAGTTTGAATTAGAAAAAAAAGGAACATTTTACATTATAGTTGAGAACATGATAGTCTTTTATGAAAAATTAAAAAAAAAAAAAGTTACATTAGAAAGTGAGTGGTTGTAATTTTTTGTCGTAGTTCATTGTATTCATTTTATTATTATTTTTTTATTCCTTAGCTTCCAACTTCCGCGGCCGCCCTCCGAGAGTCGTGCCGAAATCCTAATCCCTTAAGGCGAACAACCTTTTACTCCTTCTTGGTCTTCAATGAACTTGCTGGTAAGTCTTTTAGCGTTTAGTGTAAACCTACCCAGGCAAGCAAAGTTTGGCCGACACTTGAGACTGCGTTAAGATTGTTGTGAAACAGGAGAAGATAAAGATGCAGAAGAAGGAACCAGATAAAGCTCCTCACTTGCCTGCTTTCTGGATCGAAATATCCGACTCTGTCTCTCGTCGCTACCAGTTTAAACCCCACGGCCAGCTCTCTGTATGTTCCAAATATCTTATTTTCTCTTTATCTACTTGTGAATATGAAAGTTTGTTCATTTCTGGGTTCTGGGTAAGTGGTTTTTTGGGAGCTCTGTTCCATTTATGGCATTGGGGAAGGTTTTCTATGGATAGACAAAATGGGATTTCGGGATCTTCCTTAATGAATGGAATTGTATAATTTGAATGTTTGAGTTTCCTACAAGAGAAGATAAAGCTTCTGACTTGATACTGTTATGGGCAAAATTAAAAGGTTATTCGTAGAATTTGCATTTTTATTGCTTAGGTGCTGTCCCTGAGCCTGTCTTCAAGTTCAAATTGGTTGCTTTTGTTTTTTTGTTTGTTTTTTTTTTTTTTCTCGTAGATGATATTGTTTAGAGTTCGCATCATATGTAGAATTGATTGAAGTGATTAACACTTTCTATTTACAAGTGCATTTCTTTAGCTGGTGTGAGTTTTGTTTTGTTTTGTTTTTTTTTTTTTTCTACAGGCGACGACCGTCAATGACTCGAGACCGGTGGTTCATAGGATGGTTGATTCCTTCCTGAGTACATTTTTCCCTTCAGGATATCCATACAGGTGACTGTTATTGGCTGATTGTAGCTAGAACTACAACTATTAGAACCCGTTGATTTATCTTTTTCTCATAAAGGTTTCATTCTTTTACTTGTGTAGTGTCAACGAGGGATACCTCAGATACACGCAATTTCGAGCGCTGCAACACTTGACCAGTGCAGCACTCTCAGTGCTATCAACTCAGGTCTTCCTCTGATACTTAATGGAGCATCTGATCAGAAAATTGAGAACAGTGTCTTTTCAAGTTTTTTTTTGAAACACTGTAGCATTCATATGATTGCAGATTCACTTTCTTTTCAAGTTAAATATGGCTTTTCATGTTTTCCATTTTGTTTTGGCTGAGTTATATTTCGGGGTGTAATTTTTGGTTCAACTTTTCTTTTCTTTTTCTGCCCTCCAATATATGCAATTTGATGACATCTGTAAAGTGGGTTTTTTGTGCCCATGCTTACTCCTTTGCAGTCACTACTGTTTGCTGCAGGCTTGCGACCCACTCCTGCACAAGCGACGGTAGTAAGTTGGGTAAGTTCTAATTGGCTTGATAAATCCAGAGCCCTGGGACGACTTTGATCGCATCCTTGTCAAATTTTATAATACTTATGTTGGTTGACTTGCAGGTCCTAAAGGATGGTATGGAGCATGTAGGTAAGCTTATATGTAGTAATTTGGGCGCAAGAATGGATTCAGAACCTAAACGGTGGAGAATTTTTGGTTTGTCTTTGCTCTTTAGCTCATAATTTTTACTTTTATGTTTATCTGATTCTGTCTATTTCATGTACATGTGCTGGACAGATGCATGTATAGTTGTTTAGCAAGTCTAGTTATTACTTCTGGGTGTCTTAATGTATTATCCTTCTATATGGCAGCTGATGCGCTTTATGACTTGGGAGCGGGCTTGGAAGTTCTTTCCCCATTATGTCCACATCTTTTTCTCGAAATGGCAGGCCTAGGAAATTTTGCAAAGGTAGATTTGTTACATACAGGTGTATTCTTGCTTTTTAATTTTATGTATGCTGCCGGTAAAAGTTATTCTATCTGGATGTTGAATTAATTTCATTAAATAAAGGAATGGGGGTCATATGAAAATCCTGCTTTTCTCGGGTATAAATTTTTATCCTAAATTTAGCTGGCTAGAAAATTGAGTCCTTTCTCTTTATAGGGTATGGGAGTTGTTGCGGCAAGAGCAACAAGGTTACCGATATATTCTTCCTTTGCAAAAGAAGGCAATCTGAGTGATCTTTTTGCGAAAGGGGAAGCCATCTCAACGCTTTTCAATGTTATCGGGATAGGAGTAGGAATTCAGTTAGCATCAACTGTCTGTTCAACAATTCAAGGAAAGGTATAGACTTTACATTAGCAAGTGACTTTGGAACTTTTCAGTTTGCTATTTTCATGGTCTGTTCATAAAACAGATGAAGGGAACTTAATTTCGTGACATATTTAAGTTTGACTAGACGATACAATAGAGGTTATGAATCATGAGAAAGTGTGAAAATCGGACTTTAGGGGTTGTTTGGTTGGGTGATTCGTACCCCGATTCGAATCATGGTTCATGGTTTGCTACAGTATTTTCTCTCACAAAAAATACACGTAAATCGAAAATGATTCTAATCGCATGATTCTAATCTATGAACCAAACGTCTCCTTAATGTTTCTCAAGTGCGTAGAAGAAAGATGTATTTTTTTTCCCCCTCCTTGCAATGTTGAGCGTCATATTTACTGTGGTTTTAACTTCTTTCACTGGCAAAATGGGCAAGAGAAATAGAATTTCTAATCCGTAGTAACTTGTTGTAGTTGATTGCTGGGCCACTTCTTTCTGTTCTACACGTATACAGTGTCGTTGAAGAAATGCGAGCAGCTCCTGTCAACACATTAAATCCACAGAGGACTGCAATGGTTGTAGCTGATTTTCTGAAGGTCTGTTAGGATCTTTCTCTCATTCTCTATCCCTTTCTCTCTATAGATGTTTGTTTGATGAGATTGAACCTCCAATTCAGACAGGGAAAGTTTCAAGTCCAGCAGACCTAAGGTATAGAGAAGATCTCCTATATCCTGGGCGACTCATCAAAGAGGCCGGCAATGTCAAGGTCGGAAGAGCTTTACACAAGGTCGTTAGACCTTCAAAACTTCGTGAACTGAAACAAATATTCCCGGAGGAGAAGTTTCTTTTGAGTCCTGGAAGTAGATGGGTTGACATGGTACTAGAGCACAATGCTACAGGTGAAGATGCATTGAGGGGTTGGCTGGTTGCTGCATTTGCTGCAGATATGGAGAAGAAGTCCTTCCATGGGGACAGCATCGATGCATTGCAAGCTGCATACAAGAAGATGAACCACGTATTCGAGCCGTTCTTGTCCGAACTGCAGGCAAAAGGTTGGCACTCTGATCGTTTTCTGGATGGAACAGGAGTTCGTTTTGCATTATAGTAGAATTCAACTGCAGCCTATCGTTTTGAAAGAGAGATTTTTTTGACAAGGGCCTCAAGACTACGATTTTGCCTTTGTGCTTTATCAAAGAGTTTAGAGAAGTAGGATGTAGGATATAGGTGCAACTTTTTTGTCAAGGCTTAAAACTTGTAATTTGCGTTGAGAGTTTGAGAATGTTGACTTTGTAAGTACTTCATATTGGTTTCATTTGGAACATATTGATCAATTTGATTCATGGCGTTTGCTTGAGCACCGATGAGATGGAACAACACCTGCTCTTTTTGATGCCCATTTGACATTCTCCGGGGTAAATGTTGAAAAACAATGCCATTTCTCTCTCTCTCTCTCTCTCTTTCTCTCACGTTTAGCTTTTTGAAGAAACGTAAATTCTTTTCGTGTCAGATCCAATCATTTCGTGTTTCACACAGCAAGCTGTTGAAGAAGTCGTTGCAGGCGCATCTCTCCAACTGGCGACTGCCCACTGCCGACCCCTCAAATCTAATTTGGTTGAAAAGTACTCACTTTCATTCTACGTGTCTCCTTGATTGTACACCAAAAAAGATGCGACTTTATAATTTTTTTTCTCTCTTTTTGTAAACAAAAATTACGTACTTTTGTCGATATATAAAATGCAGATCCTAAACACGAAAGGTTATTTATTTATTTATTTTAATTCTTCAATTATATAATAATTATAGGTTATATATATGGATTTATTTTTAATGATTATGTTTCTATTGATTGGTATCATTAAATATGAAAATTTAATGATGTGTAGTGATAAGAATTTAATTTTATTAATTATTATTAATTTTTTTAATTAATTATTTAATTTATTAGAACTGTTAAATTAATATTTTACAGTTAAAATAATAATATTTATTTATGGATAAATATTCGAATAACCGCTCCTAGCTAATTTAGTGCTTTAACGATTACCATATTGAATAAGGTGTGTAGATGCACGTGAGAGTTTCAAAACTCACCCAAAAAAAAAAAAAATCTTATGAAGAGTACTCTTATGAGTTAACCCAGCACCTTGCAAGTTGCAGCGTATAAAATGAGTCAGTTTTGATGTTTAAACAATAATATGTATGTGTATATATATTTGGTCTAATAAATATTTCAATATATATTCCTAAAGCTAATGCTATTGTCATCTTGTTTAATAATATTGGAAGTGTGATCTGATTAAGAGAGGAATAATTGAGTAGGGTAGGGGCCACCGATCATTCTAATCAAACTTTTAAAATTTTTAATTACACTATTTTTATTTGGAGTGGGGGCTTCTCCTTAGAATAAACATGCTTAACATGTTTTAACAATTAAGTAGCTCAAAGGTGAAAAAGAACTTAAGTGCATGCATCCAAAATAATCATATTAATTTGTCCAACTAAAACTATGTAGCACAATCCCGTTTTGTTTATGGCCTTGTTCACAAAGTGGAAAAAACAATAAACAGAGAGGAAAAAGTGTTGAGAGGCTGCTCCTTGTGATAGTTAAATTGATGAGCGTGACCCAAAAAGCAGATTCAGGAGAAATTATTAAGGCCACAATCCAAATGAGCATGTATCACAATCCTGTGTTTTTTTTTTTCCTTCTTCTTTTTTGAACTTATTTTTTCCTTTTGTATTTTTCTTTCTATTAATAGCAATAAAATTAAATAGGGATCAATTTGGTGTAAGAAAAGAAGGCTAATAAATTATAATTAACCAAGTTGGAACGCGTTAGTTAGTTACCCATAATATTAATATTAGTTATATCTTCTTTTATAAAGTCGCTCAATATAAGTGGAGACAAATCTCCATCAGACTCAAGAAGTGAGTCTCACTTATGGGACCACGTAGTGAGACTCGGTGCTTGATGGGAATAAATATTCATCAGATAAATTAACATTTTTCATATATATATACACACACACATTCATATTCATCTTGGGTCACTCCAATATTTATGGTGAGTTAATGACCTTAATCCAATATATGTCCCAATTCTCATGTTATATAGACAGGATGTATACCCTTGTTTTGTGCTCCCTGAATTCCTTTGCAAATATTATCTTTTACAGATAACGGTATATTAATGTGATTCAAGTGGAGGTAAAAATAAACCAACAATGTTAGACATGACCTGATCAAGATCTTTATGTTTGGTTTCAGATTATTGAAATGAATATACTATATAGTAGTGCTAATTGTAGTTCATTTTTGCACAGAAATCATACAATTATAAAAGTTGGACCTGTTTTTCTTTATAAGGGATGATCGTATACTTTAAAATTCCGGTGAAGTCAAGCGGATCAGGTGTAGCAGCGCATTGCCTAGATTACTCTAAGAATTATGTCGAATTACCACTTAAATTTACGTGCAGGAGAATTTGATTGGTCTAATTCTTTTTTCTTTTAAAAAACTTGTATAAATTTGAAAGCACATGTTGTGCGTGGACCATATAACATATGTAAATAAATTGTCACTGTCTTGCCTACAATCGTGGCTTTCTTCAATTCGTCGTAAAATGGACTTAATGCGTTTAACTTGGATAAGGTTGGGATTAGCACCCAAAAAAAAAAAAAAAAAAAAAAACTTGGAAAAGGTTGTGGATAGTACGTAGGAGTACTGTAGAATAAAATACTAGTTTTTCTTTGAATGAAGAAGAAAAAGATAGGCTTCAATTATTAACTTCCCCCTACTTAGAGCCAAAAAAAAAAAAAAAAAAAAAAAAAAAAAATAAACCGTCAGGTTGAAGTTCTTTCGTTGATTAACAAAAAGGGAACAGTTTGGATTTGATTTCATTCGTGTCCCTTCGAGCAAAAAACGAAAAGGAAATGAAACAAGGAAAACTAATGCAGTCACGTTCCAACATAAAACACCATTAAATGCACAAAATTGAACAGCGAAAATTAACTACAATAACTTCTTTTTTTTTTTTGGGAGTAAAAAAAGATATCATATATGTATAAATGTATTGACCCTTCTTTTTGGTGGGGGTTTGGAAATCAAACGTATTTTTGGCAGTATAAGCCAACATGTCGGACTCGGCCTCACTAAAGGGACGTTTATTTATTGTATTCGTTTCTGAATCTGAATCATGATTTATGATTCTTTACAATATTTTTTTTCACAAAAAACACGAGAATAATTCTAAATCATAATTCTGAATACATGAACTAAACGTCTTCTTAATTTGTCGATGATGCTTTCAATTTCGTGTAAAGTTGTTTTTCCAACTACTGGTAGTCTAATATTGGATTTTCTCTCCCCTTCATTAAGGTAATTAATATTGTTGGTCCCTTATAGATAGTTATACATGAGTACTGGGTTATCCAAACTTTTTTTCTTGTCAGATTATTTTTTGAACTTTGATTTATTTATTTTTCTTTTTGCAGTTTTATAAGTCCCTCATAAATGGTTTATAAAATTTCACATAGTTAATCATGACTCACGTTCTAATGTCATAATAACTCAAATTTTTACGGAAATAATTATGTTAAATGAGAACTGTTACGGTACTTGTTGAAGGGTTTTTAACAATAATGCAATCTTTCGGTGGAGCAAAATTGCTCCACCGGTGCTGAGATAATTAGTTTTAATTGTTAGATTAGTTTTTTAACAATTAGATATGTATATATTAAAATTAAAAATTATAATGCAATATATATAATTGTTTATACTGCAGATTTAACCGTTGAAAAATTAATCTTACAGTAAATACATAATTCCCACTGGTGGAGTACCGTAAAGGCTCCCTAACTTGTTTAGATTGAAGAACAATTTCTTGTATTTTTTTTTCTTTCTAAAGAGTTGTTTCTTGCACTTGTTAATTAATCAAACTCTTCATTTCACAGTAATATACATCGCCGCGAATGTAGATGTACATAATTATAGGCATGGTCTTAAGTACGATATAGCAGGTGTAATACCTTTCGTATGAACTTGTAATTTTTTTGTGTAACACAATAACACTGAAGCAAGTTGAAAAAAAAAAAAAAAATATATATATATATATATATTGATTTTTATGTCTTATTTAAGTCGGACTCGGTCTCACTAAAGGGACGTTTATTTATTGTATTCGTTTCTGAATCTGAATCATGATTTATGATTCTCTACAATATTTTTTTTTCACAAAAAACACGAGAATAATTCTAAATCATAATTCTGAATACATGAACTAAACATCTTCTTAATTTGTCGATGATGCTTTCAATTTCGTGTAAAGTTGTTTTTCCAACTACTGGTAGTCTAATATTGGATTTTCTCTCCCCTTCATTAAGGTAATTAATATTGTTGGTCCCTTATAGATAGTTATACATGAGTACTGGGTTATCCAAACTTTTTTTCTTGTCAGATTATTTTTTGAACTTTGATTTATTTATTTTTCTTTTTGCAGTTTTATAAGTCCCTCATAAATGGTTTATAAAATTTCACATAGTTAATCATGACTCACGTTCTAATGTCATAATAACTCAAATTTTTACGGAAATAATTATGTTAAATGAGAACTGTTACGGTACTTGTTGAAGGGTTTTTAACAATAATGCAATCTTTCGGTGGAGCAAAATTGCTCCACCGGTGCTGAGATAATTAGTTTTAATTGTTAGATTAGTTTTTTAACAATTAGATATGTATATATTAAAATTAAAAATTATAATGCAATATATATAATTGTTTATACTGCAGATTTAACCGTTGAAAAATTAATCTTACAGTAAATACATAATTCCCACCGGTGGAGTACCGTAAAGGCTCCCTAACTTGTTTAGATTGAAGAACAATTTCTTGTATTTTTTTTTTCTTTCTAAAGAGTTGTTTCTTGCACTTGTTAATTAATCAAACTCTTCATTTCACAGTAATATACATCGCCGCGAATGTAGATGTACATAATTATAGGCATGGTCTTAAGTACGATATAGCAGGTGTAATACCTTTCGTATGAACTTGTAATTTTTTTGTGTAACACAATAACACTGAAGCAAGTTGAAAAAAAAAAAAAAATATATATATATATATATATTGATTTTTATGTCTTATTTAAGTGTGCCCCCAGTAATTTTAGCAATAAATATACGAGTTTTTCTTATTTTTTGGTCACTTTTAGTTGTGGGTTTCAAAACTAATTCATTGGACTTTTTTTTTTCCTCTTTTAAATGTTGTTTTGATTTTATACGACACCATCATTTTGTCCTATTACATACTACTTACTGCCACTATTTCTTTTTTTCCTCCTTAAATTGGGTTTCACCTCTCTTTTCACTAATGTTTGGTAATCTTATTTGTTTTTTCATTTATCTTTTCCGTTTTTTGCACGTAGTTCGACTCTTTGAGTCTCTTATTTTATATTTGTTTTTCTTCTCTCACACGTTCCTTTTTTTTTTTCTCTCTATCTCATGAGTTTTCACTCTTCACAAGTCTCTCTACACAGTAACACAATAGTGGCAAACTGTTTTTCTAATTTTTTTTTCCACAAAAGTCAAAATTCCCACCGGTGGAGTACCGTAAAGGCTCCCTAACTTGTTTAGATTGAAGAACAATTTCTTGTATTTTTTTTTTCTTTCTAAAGAGTTGTTTCTTGCACTTGTTAATTAATCAAACTCTTCATTTCACAGTAATATACATCGCCGCGAATGTAGATGTACATAATTATAGGCATGGTCTTAAGTACGATATAGCAGGTGTAATACCTTTCGTATGAACTTGTAATTTTTTTGTGTAACACAATAACACTGAAGCAAGTTGAAAAAAAAAAAAAAAATATATATATATATATATATTGATTTTTATGTCTTATTTAAGTGTGCCCCCAGTAATTTTAGCAATAAATATACGAGTTTTTCTTATTTTTTGGTCACTTTTAGTTGTGGGTTTCAAAACTAATTCATTGGACTTTTTTTTTTCCTCTTTTAAATGTTGTTTTGATTTTATACGACACCATCATTTTGTCCTATTACATACTACTTACTGCCACTATTTCTTTTTTTCCTCCTTAAATTGGGTTTCACCTCTCTTTTCACTAATGTTTGGTAATCTTATTTGTTTTTTCATTTATCTTTTCCGTTTTTTGCACGTAGTTCGACTCTTTGAGTCTCTTATTTTATATTTGTTTTTCTTCTCTCACACGTTCCTTTTTTTTTTTCTCTCTATCTCATGAGTTTTCACTCTTCACAAGTCTCTCTACACAGTAACACAATAGTGGCAAACTGTTTTTCTAATTTTTTTTTCCACAAAAGTCAAAATTTTTTAGTGGTGCACATGCCTTATATGTTGAATTCACAAGTCTTGTTACAAGTTTGCTTGTTAGTGTAAGTTTGTAAAGATCAATTACTGTCCTATAAGGCATGCAATTTAATGCTATTCATAAAATGTTGTGAAGTTTTTTTTTTTTTTGAATGGAAAATGTCTCCGTCACTGCCTAGACTGAAGACATTCTCTACAAAGTCTCGCTCGTTTCGTTGATTCGAATTGAGATGTGATTATATGCGAGAGTTTTTTACTGTAGTAAAAAAATTAGATGTGATTGTTTGTGAGAACTTTTTACTATAACAAAACTCGAATTCTAAACTCAAATCAGCGAAACGAACGAGGCCTTAATATAAAATTTTGTGGAGGTCAAATTAATTAGTTGATTTGTCCGTATCTCATTGTGGGTCCTACGAGGATATAGCAATTGTGTTACGCACATTCATCTTTGACAAATTGGTATAGTTAAAGACACACACACTGGCGCCCAATATTTCAGAAGTCGGTCATTACAAACAACACATTTATAAATTGATTCAATTATGTAGTCCTCCTCCAATATTATTGTGTGAAATCTAGCTCAATAATTACGAATCCAAGTGGTGCAGATGTGAAGCTAGCACCGAACTCAGTGGCTTTTCTGTCCCACATGCCTGCTAGTTAATCTCTTTTTTATTATTATTTTTTTAATTTTTTTTTATTGGGTCCACTACGATGGTTATTTCTTTGTTTGGAGTCAAATTTCTTTGTTAACTACTGCTAACATACTCATGGGTGATAATTCGTGTCACGTGTCGTGTTCGTGTCATGTTTTGATCGTTTCTTTCTAAATTTGCAGTCAACCTGACACGACCCGTGACACGAAATTTTTTAAAAACCGCAACACGAACACGATATGACTACTTTACGAGTTGACACGACACGACCCAAAAATGACCCGTGAGACGAAATTGACCCGTGAACCCGAAATTGACATGAAAATTGTATACTTTTATTTAGTTTTTTACATATTAAAAATAACTTAAAATTCATAACACACTAAATTACAATAACATCCATTAAAATTAAGTAAATAATAGTATAAGATTTTGACTATAACTATCATGATATCACAAGTTCATAATAAAATTTAAAATATGAAATGAAAAATATATGTATTCTTTAGTTTTTTACGAGTTTTGTGTCGTGTTCGGGTTAGGCGGGTCCAACCCGAAATTGATCAGTGTTTTTTGTGTCAATTTCAGGTCGACACAATTCTGATCCGAACCTCTTTTTTCTCAATCCTAACCCACAAAATTTGTGTCATTTTTGAGTCGTGTCGTGACCCATATTACCGGCCCTAATTTCTTTGTTTGGAGTCAAATTTCTTTGTTAACTACTGCTAACATACTCATAATAACAACCTTAATAAAATGAATTTGAACAACGCAGCACGCCCATTGGACACTTCACTTGTCAACTTTCAATCTTTGTAATCATGAATAGCGATTATCATGTTTTTTTTTTTCAAAGATTTTAGATGGTATTTAGATTAGTCTTTTGGGTTTGACCGAATAGTAGTCTACCCCGTGATCAGTTTTAATTAAGACTTTTCAAAGGGATTAATTACTTGGTAAAAAGGTAAAAAAGCAGTAAAAGAAATAAAAAGAATATAAAGTTTGCTGGCCGTGATCTTTTAATTAATTTAAGTGCAGTTTGTATTTATATATATATATATATATATGCAAGTAGAAACTAGAAACTAGAAGAAACAGCTTCATGTAAGGGCACTACTGGCCTCTATATTTGACTTGTCATGTTCATGCTGAAATCCATAAGTTCAGCAGCGAGAAAAAAAAAATCCATAAGAAGACAAAATACTTCAAGTAATAAAGGAGTTCCCTTGCACGCCTAGTATGAGATTTTATGCATGATGGTGTAACCTATTCTTTTTTTTTTAAATAATAATAATAATAAAAATGAATAAAGGCCTTCAAACTATTAGATTTTATTTATTTATTTATTATTTATTAATTTTTTTCTATTCCTGCTTGCCATACACTTGAGTAGTGACTTCCAAATTATAAGAATGATCAAAATTTCCAAAATTTATTTCAGATATACATCATTATCAGGAAAAATAGATTTGTGTGGCTACAACGTATCTGCACTTGGGGGGCCCAATAATTTTCAAGTTAAACCTTTTTTATTGTTTTCTGAAGAGATGGTATTACTAATATTAAGAGATCAATAGAAAAATTGCTATGATATATAGGAGCACCACATCATACTAATTACTTTATGAGATATTAATCATAAATATACGAGACGACATGATGCATAGAATATAATCACCTGCATATTGAATGCATTTTTTTTAAAGAATGTTCTTACACTTGTTTCATAATTAAATACCATTGATATATATAGATAGTAACGTTGCGAATAGAAACCCCACCATGAAAAATGTATCACAGAAAAAAAAAAAGAAAAAAAAATTGACATAATTAAAAAAGAGAAAATTAAGAAAAGAATAGAGGCACACACTTAGCAAGCCAAAAATTGAAGAGTAGAGATTCAGCCAAAAAACAAACAGAAACTCGAAGAGCAGTGTCTTCCTTTACTAAGAGTACTGCATGAAAAGTCATGAAAAAGAAACCAAAAAAGTGTTCATATTTACTTCAGGCAAATCCGCACGTTTTCATTTTGACTACATATACCCACCAATCACATCGGTACACATCATTAGAGAGAGAGAGAGAGAGAGAGAGAGAGAGAGAGAGAGAGAGTGTATGTGTACATGTGTGTATGTGATTTTCGTGGAAATGATGGTCGACATTTGCCTTTAGAATTCAATGTTGTGGCCGGTTCTTCAACGATATATAAAGCCACTCCATAGGCAGCTTGCTATTATCTTCAACTCTTAAAGTTAGATTTAGAGAGAGAACTGAAAAAAAAAAAAGGCTATCAATTCAAAGGTACTGCGTAATATATCTCCAATTTCAGAAAGGGATCAGAGAATTAAAAAAAAAAACAAAAATGGTAAGAGCACCTTGCTGTGAGAAGATGGGGTTGAAGAAAGGACCTTGGACCCCTGAAGAAGATCAGATTCTCATCTCTTACATTCAAAGATATGGCCATGCCAATTGGCGTGCACTCCCCACACAAGCTGGTAATTAATTAATTATTACTATTATCATTTATGATGAATCTTACTTAATATGTTAATATAGGGAGAAGGAGATGATTCTGATTAATATTATCTCTAATTGGCTGCTCATGCGTGTGTTTGTATACACATATATATACACACACATATGCAGGTTTATTAAGGTGTGGAAAGAGTTGCAGATTGCGATGGATAAACTACTTGAGACCGGACATTAAACGAGGAAACTTTAGCACTGAAGAAGAGGAGACCATCTTTAAGCTACACGAAATGTTAGGAAATAGGTACGTGTATATATTTATATATGTATATTGATTCATTACATTTAGTTGTGGCCGTTGATCTGTAGTATATTGATTTTGAACAGAAATTTAAATTCTTACAAGAAGATTTGATGTCATTCTATTCCATTTGCATTATTATTATTATTATTCCAGTTCAAGTGGATATATGGAGTTAATTCAGTGGACATTCACGGCTGCTTAATTATTTACTGGCTGTGCATGGTAGAGACCGATAATTGGTCAGACCTGACGAATAAGGGTGACAATTCGTGTTGTGTGTTGTGTTTATGTCATATTTTGATCGTTTATTTTTAAATTTACAGTCAATTCGAGCACGACCCGTGGCACGAATATTTTTTAAAACCGTAACACTAACACAGCACGACAACTTTACGAATTGACACGACACGGCACGAAAATAACCCGTGACACGAAATTGACCCGTGAACCCAAAATTGATACCAAAATTATATATTTTTCTTTAGTTTTTTACATATTAGAATTAACATAAAATTCGTAACACACTAAAATACAATAATATCCATCAAAATTAAGCAAATAGTAATATAAAATTTTGAGTATAACTATCATGATATCATAAATTCATAATAAAATTTAAAATATGTAATAAAAAAATATATTTTTTTAGTTTTTATGAGTTTCATATTGTGTTTGAGTTAGACGGGTCCAACCTAAAAGTGATCTGTATTTTTTGTCTTAATTTTAGGTTGATATAATTTTAAACCGAACATTTTTTTTCTCAATCTTAATCTATAAAATTCGTGTCATTTTTAAGTTATATTATCGTGTCGTGACTTCTATTACGGGTCCCGATGACGACTGATCAATGGGATGATTTTTGTTTGATCCCTCTAAAAGAGTAATATCACGTGTTTTCTAGACGTCTCTATTGGGCTTAAAAGATTCCTTGCGTAATCTTTTCGTATTCTAAATATAACAAACATCAAGCTCGTTTTCCTAGCATTTAATTAATTAGTACATACTACTATAGACTAGATATGGATGGATTATAGATACCACTATGTGCACATTATATTAATGATTCATAATCACGTGATAACTACAGAATAAGAACAATTCGCGCGCATACAACATTAATTAATGTTTTTTTAGGAAACATTAATTAATGATTTCCCATTTTTTATATAATGAAATGTTTTTGGAATATTGTTGAGAATATTATTAATTAGAAATTTTAGCGTCCTTTTTTCTTTTTGATCTTTTTAATATGTAGAATTTATTAACATAATATTTTATTATTTAAAAAAAATGAGATAATAGTATCTATTGTCAAAAAAATGAATGGATAAAATAATAAAAAGCGTGATACTATCTTGTCTCATTGTTAATAAGCTTTACATCAGCAGATCTCAATGAGATTTCACTACTTTTTTTTTTGCAGATGGTCGGCAATTGCAGCGAGACTGCCGGGACGAACAGACAATGAAATAAAAAATGTGTGGCATACCCATTTGAAGAAAAGGCTCACACAATCCAATCATAATGTCGCTCAACAAAATACAAAACGACATTATCATGAACGAGCAGAAGTTGTGCATGGCACGAATTCTTCAAAATACGACATCATGGAGAATAGGCCAATTACTTCGCCCCAACAGAGTTCCTCAATTAGTGATATCTCCTCAGCAATCAGCACTGATCATGATAACAATAACAACAACAACAACAACAACAACCACACATTCATGAAAGCCGATTCTTCCGGAAAATTGTCCGAAACGGCCGACGAGAGTTTCTGGTCGGAAGTTTTCACCACCGATGAGAGTAATTATTCTGAGGTGCTGGATGATTTTTCAGCAATTAGTAGTAACCCAATAGTTCAATTTCCATCCTCTCCTCTAGTGTCTAGCGAACCGGCAGTCCACGCCTGTTGTTCCAATATTCATGGTGATGATATGGATTTTTGGCACGATTTCTTCACAAAAGCTGGGGATGATCTACAAGAATTACTAGCGGAATTGTGAGAAAATTTGATAAGTTGACAAGTCAATTTTTTCCTTTATTATTATTATTTTTTTCCTGATGGGAAACGAGAGTATGAATATTAGTCGTACTATAATGAAAGGTGCCTAACTTTTTGAAATATTTATACATAATGTTCGTGGTGCAATATATATATATATATGTATGTATATGACATCCTGCAACGCGGCAAAATTTTTCAACTTTTTCAACGCCGCATGAAATTGAGCGTCAAATCTGCAGGCCGACATGTTCAGTTGCAGACAAAAATCGATCTGGATGTTTGATAATGTATATGGTCTTGATGGCATTCAATTTTCTTGACAGCGACAAAGATTTATAAACGAAATGCACATAATCCAGAATGTGCTGTCAAGAAGGATATCTATTCCATTGCTAATTGAACACTCGAGGCAAATGCTAAAATGATTTTTTTTTTTTTTTTTGGGAAATGCAAAGGTGTTAAAGTTTTCTACTTTATTTTCATAGTTATGATTTGCTACATCTGAATTAATAGCATCTATACTATACATAGAGGACACTCCAGTCCATTGCAAAACATTCTCATGACAAAAGTACAAGGAAAAAAAAAAAGGCATAGTCAAGACACAACTTCAACTTTGTGTCTCTATTGACTATTGTTGAGGAATGAACAATTTTAAACAGATTTAGAGTAAGATTCCTCATTTAAGTCGTAATTACAGTTGTTGATTGGTTATTAATTTATATTTAGGTAATTAACCTGTGTTGAATGGTAAAAATAAGCTACTTCAAAGTTCAAAAGTTCATCAATTTTGTCAGTGTCAACGCGAGTATGACTTAGGTAAAAAAATTTGACCACATTAAATTATACCATAACACCATATGCTTAAGAACGGTAGCCTGGTAATTTAATCTTTTTCTTTTTTTTGTATAAATATTTTACTTACTCTTATGTGAAATATAATTTTCTTAAACTTTTATCTCTATTTTATATTTATGGGAAGAACGACTTGCCGTTTATTCAGTAGCATTAAGCCACATGTCATTGTTTCTTCAGGATGAAACATGTCGTTTTCCGAAAAAACGACAATTGTAGGAGGCGAAAGTGTGGACTGCTCACTTGGTTATTCTTAACGAACTAAAATCCAGCCCATTTTATTGACATCTGGGCTGCACTTCGGCTCACAATGACGCAACAAAGACTTCAAAGCGTTGCCGTTTGGTTGAAACTTCTCTCTCTTGGAATTTTGTGGTGTCTCGCATCGCAAAAGACCAACAATGGCGTCTGCTTCAGGTTTATCGTTTTTTACCCTTTTTTTTTGTTTGTTTGTTCTGATTTTGATTTTCTTTGCCAATTTTAGGAGTTTTTCTCTTAGATTGTTACTGCTTTTTAATTTTTCTAGAAATTGAACAATGTGAAATCATATTATTTACCAAGATGTTAGGGCGTAGTGAGTCGGGACTTGGATTCAATGTATCCAGTATTTTGGGTTTTCTTCTCACTTTTCTACGGATTCAAAATATATCATCTAGAATGGAAATTACACATTGCTAAATTTTGTTGTTAGCTTCAAGATTTAGATTTGGTAATTATCTCATATCATAAGCCTACCAAGTGACTCCGTGGCCCATGGATAAGGTTCTAGTCTACGGAATCAGATATTCTGGTTTCGATCCTCAGCAAAATCGCTAAGTTTTCTTTAAATGCTATTTAATATGATATTTGTTGGTGGTGAAATTTCAAGAATATACTAGATTACTGCTTAGTAATTGGTTAGATTACCGGCCAAACCACGTGTTAATAATTACTTTGTATCAGGTTAATTTCTATTAGAAAAGTGCAACTAGTCGTGTATGGATTCTATGGATGCCCAGAATATGAATGAAAACGTGAAAAAATGGAAAGAATACTAAAAATTATAGTGGTTCACTCTCAATGCAAGAACTACGTCTACTTTAAGAAATTTCTCTCTTTCTTCTTTCTTTCTTAATTACAATGGACTCAGTTCTCTCCAATGACCTCTCTCTTTCTTTTTGGAGCCTCGCCCCTTTTATATCACATAAATTACATTTTGAAAGAAACCGAGACAAAAGGTTATTCAACGGTTGCTATCGAGTAGCCTATTATCCTACTTAACTAGACTGTAGCTATTCAGTACATTTTCTGACTGTTCATCTACCTACTATGTCCACTATTACGGCTTTGTGACTTCCCATTGGTCTATTTTTTGGGTGGCTAACAGGCTAGTAATCATTTTCTTGTCACTTACTTTGTTTATGCCCACAAGTAACCTAGGGGTTTCCCTCCTGTCACCTTAGGGAATATTCTTGAGATCTAGGTCGGATGACTGAACACGCTACCCTCTCCGTTTTCACTAGGCCCGAATGGCAAGTTAAGATAGAGCCTTCGTCCTCATCAATTCTTGCATACCATCGGCAGTCTACGGGATTTTAGAGCCATCTCCCTCTTAGCCGCTTGATCGGTCGACTGCCACCGTGGATGCTGCACATTACAAGCTTGTTGTTCTTAAGCGTTTCTTCAAGGATTATTTTGAAGGAACTTGGAGCGGTCAGTTTCTCTCTCGTTATCATAAATACTCATTTTTAAAACAGCTAAGTTTCAACCAATTGGAATGCTGATCCTTCGACGATCAATGCCTATTTATTGCCTAACATGGTAAGATAATGGCCACGTAGAGTCTATTTATTATCTGATGTGGCAATGTAAATTTTCTCTCCGTATTATCATTTTTTTTTTCAAAAAAGTGCTGGTAATAATAACAACAGAATATATATTTTTTCGTTTTACCAGACAAAAAAAAAAAGGGAATTTCTTTGTGTGTGATGAATTTGTTGATTTACTGGACTGTTATTGGCGACAACAGAACAGAACTCATACACAAACACAATAATATGTACAAAATTCTTTTTTTTTTTTTTTTTTCCCTGACAAGTAGAACCAGATACAATCTCATTATCTACATGTAACAGGTCCTAATCTTCGCTTATAATTTCTTATCTCCTTCATCTTACAAAGCCCAAAAGAAGCAAAACCAAATAGGCTTTATCACTACAAGTCACGAGCCAACATCTCCTGAACCTCCATTTCTGCCCTGAACTTAGCAATGAATTGCTCCGCCCTCTCGTCGATTCCATGCATCTGCGGCGACGCAAATCCCATTGCCTCCCACATGTCGTCGGCAGCGCAAGCCCTTTCCGCCCCGTTCCCCGTAGCCTCCTTGCTTGTTCCGGGAGACTTTGGCGGGAGAGTCTGAAGAAGCTTATCAACTCTCCCAGAGACGCTCTCTTTGAAGAGCTTGTCCACGTAAACAGGCGCAATGCTTTTCTCCAGGGCGTGGCATTGCCGACTACTCCCGATGAGGACAAGATGACGCTTTGGACTTCGGGGCTGTACAAGGCGCGATCGTTTGCGTTTAAAACGCGCTCCAAGAAACTTGTAGCTGTTTCGTGAAGGGACGGTTTTAGGGCGGTTTCTTGGCTTGACGATGGATTTGGGCTTGTTGAGCTTGTGGAGTTTGCTTTGTATTTTGGAAGTTAAGCTCCTCCACCACGCCTTTCTTGCCGTTGGGAGCCTCAGATTCAAGCAAGACATGATGGGAATTACGATTATGAAGGGCTTTGCAGTTGCAAAGAGAGCGTTTTGGATTTGGTGCTTTATAATGTTAAGGTTAGGCTCGTATTCTTTACGCGTTGGATTTGTCTTTTTGTATCGTAGAAAAAGGATTCGTATTCGTTTTTTACGGAATAGCTTTGATCTTACGCTGATCGGGCATTTGACGCCAAAACTAGTCCATACTCAAATAGTCCCATTGTGGGGTTGGCTTAGTTCTTACGCTATACTATAGACGACAGGGAAATAAAGCCACTAGTACGTACATACATACTTACATACATACATACACACACACACACACACACACACATATATATATATATATATATCACACACACATTATAAGCACTCTTACTTTAGAATCATTTGAAATGTGGTATATCTTTAATTGACCCGTTTAGTTTGTTGATTCGAGTTGAGATGTCACTGTGAAAGCTTTTTACTGTAATAAAACTCGAATTATAAACTCAAATCGGTGAAATGAACGGAAGTGTTCACTTGTTATGAGTGAAGGGAAAGAGCATACTGAAGTGAATCTTCGACAATTAAGATCAACTAGGCCTACCAGAATCTCATACGAATCCAAGTTGGAGGTCCTCCAGTCCCTACATCTTTTTAGTAGATTAATGTCTTATTTAAGTTTTTTGAAGATAGATATGTTTGTGTTCCCGTCAGCTGTGATTTACAGAATGAAATTGGAAATGATTCTCTGTTCTTCTTGTTTCTTCTCCTCAACTTTTGTTATTAAGTAGAGCATATTTTTCAACTTTCCAATTTATAAAGATTTTTTATCCACACATACAGAATTTAGTAAAAGACTTGCAGGCAGGCATATATTCCATGGATTTGTTGAAAACGTCTTTCAACAGTTTCTTTAGAAATTAGGAGTAGCTTTCACCCGGATTGCGATGAGGTGATGATTTATACAGAGTATAGTTGAATTTTACTGAACAAATAAGGAATCTCCACTTGAACTTTTATCAATTTTTACATGTTTGTGAACAAAACAATATGTTGCTTTGAGTAAAAATTTGTCGTCATTTTAAATAAAAACAAAAATTGTTGTCGTTTAACTTAATAAACGACATGTCAATTTTACAATTACTATATCTAGCCCACTAAAGAACGACATATTGAATCTCGTTTACGATTGATTTTTGTGGTGTTTTAAGATTTTAAGATGAAAAGAAAACTTGTAAGTCATCGATTAGAAGTTCTGTATTTTAAAGTAAGAAAGACGGCATGTAGTTTCTTATCAAATTGCTTTGTCCACGCAAGTGTTATGATCTTTTTGGCATAAACGATAATGTCTTTCTATGTTTGTTGTCGTTTGTGATTTTTATGTTTTTCGACATGAAAAATTTGGCATAAACATAAAAGAATTATAAAAAAATGCAGACAAGAAAAGTTCATTTCAAATGATAATAAACAGTAATTAGATGGAATTCACACATGGAAGAAAGTAATTCATGATATTTTAATCATATAAGCCGAAAATTCTAAACAGCGTACGAAATGTACGAAACACCTGCCACAAAAAGAAGGGAGAAGGTTTGCTATTGCGCTAAGCACACAAAACATGGGCCACAAAAACAAAAAGAAACAGAGGGGCCCATCAATGGCAAGCCTCATTGGCAATGTAGAAGTGTTGGGCCTGAAGGGCTGCGGCCTCCTCGGAAACAAGGGCTTTGATCACCAGAGTCTTGACGGCCCAAGGAGTGTACGGGAACCCCTTCCTGGCGTAGGAGTTGAGCAGGGCAGCGCTCGCCTGCTTCAGCAGCCCACGGAAAGCGTTCCCCTCGTCGCTCCTCACCGTCGCCTCCACCAACGTCAGATCAGATCTGTACCGTTCGTATGCCATCGACCCGAACACCTTCGAGACCGTCGATGTCTGTGGGACCATCTTCGGCCACGCCTCTCTCCCGCTGCTCCAGTACCTGTCGTAACGTACATACCAAATCACCCGACTCAGTTCCTTCCCAACTCGGCCGAGTTGAATCGCCAAGTTCTTAACTTTCTCAAAACCAAAAAGAATAAAGGGGGGGAAAGGAAAGAAAACTTACTTTGGTGTACATATTTCCGTGGTTCTTATGTAGAGAAAGCCTGGCCTGGCTGCTGCTACGGAAGCTTCAAATGAAGAAAGAAAAACAGGGAAAATGAAGAGAAGAAGAAGAGTGAGTGAACCAAGTTGATAAGGACCGAACATGTTGGATCTATTCTAGTATCTTCCTTCTATCCGATTCCGGAATCCGGACAGAGAAAACATGTTTTACTTCATTTTCTGTGTGCTGTTTGTACCATTTCAGATTTCAAAAAGTGGACGTCACATATACTATTTATTTGATCCCGTTTGTTTCAAAATTGGTCTATGTCTTTCTCTAGTGTCTTCTTCTAATTGGAAGCTGGTTCAGTTCTCGATGCAAATGTCCACTAATTTGACACATTTGCCCTTCCATTTTTACTTCTCAAACAATTCAAGTCACTGTATTTCCAACTTAATTTAGAGTTTTTTTTTTTTTTTTCCATCTATTTCTTTTAGGCGTAATTCTACATTTGCCCTTCAAGATTTCTTCTTTTTCTTTCATTTCGGTTTCACTTTAGTTGTTGTGTAAAAGTTTCTGTGTTTATAATAAGAGGGTAGTTTCTTACCTGATTTTTTTATTTTATTTTATTGATTACCTGATTTTTTATTTTATTTTATTGTTTGATGTTAGTTTTCGGTTATCGACTTAAGATTGTTTGTATGTTTTTTAATTGTGTGGACTTCTTTGTCTGATTAGAATTTTTTTATGAATATCCTCTTTTTATAGAATTGGTGATCTGTCCTTTTAGAGTTTGGAAACATTTCTCAATAGCCGGAGTTTCTTCAATTAGAGCATTTAGGTGTGCTCCTTATTACTATGCTAATATTTTCTCTTATTTCTAGACCTCGGAGACGCATCTGTCCCTTCGATAAGTCATTAACATTATATTAAGTTATATGTTCCTCCGTCTTTATTTAAATGCAATTTTCCTTTTAAAAAAATAACCATGTATATTATAGTAAGAAAATCTTTTAAAAGGTATTGCTTCATATATGTTATAAGTACAGGCTAATTTAAATCGTATGATTGATGTCTATATCCTCTCCAAAATGAGGACATCTCACTGTAAAATTTCAAATCAAAATTAATACTCCTCATTTACTACTGATTATTTATTCTTTTAAAATACTTACTAGATCGAGTTTATAAATAAATGGGTACTAGTGTGGTATGAATGAGTGAAAGCTTCAGAGAGTATATTTATATACGAAGAAAAGAAGATGTGTCATGTGTGGGTGCATGAGAACTGGAAGCTGGATCGTGGATGTATATCCTTTTAACATTAATGTGTTAGGAAATTATATTTCCTAATAATAATTACGAGCCACATATTTATAACAATTATATTAACGCTATTTAATTAATTAGACTAATTAAGTGGTCTAATTGTGGAGTGCTCAAATAGTCTCTTAACAGGGTATGAATTGAATGAGTGGATATCCAATATTAACTCAATTAGATTTAATAGGAGCCTAATAGGACAATATATAAAGAAACTTAGGTTATGTTCTTCAATACGTTAAATTATTCGGGCGTTTTCCCTCTTTCCTATCTAGAGAGAGAACACCCATTTAAAAATCTAGTGAATTGACTGAGGAAGACAATAACTCGACGTGCTCGTTATTTTAGAGATTTCTACTGGAAATTAAGGTTGCATCAATGAAGTATTTATTATAATTTATTTTCTTAATAATTTGGTGTGATAATTCTTAAAATGTAGAATAAGAATTTAAAGATCTAACATAAACTAGTAGTTGGACTGCTTGAAAAGGCTAAAAACATAATGTGCAGCATCACTGTTCGATTAGGAAAGGGCTTCTTTATTCCCTCTTTTAAGTGATATATTCTAATGTGCATGTGCGGTGGGGGGCCATTGAGATTCTCATGATAATAATAAAAAGACATTCTCTATCTCTGCTTATCCTCGCAGCTACTACTTTTGGGCGTGACAATATTAATGCATGTGCTAAATTTTCCGTAACAAATGTTCAGAGAGTGGTGTTTCTGCTTTTCTTTTTTTTTTTTTTTCTTTCTGTTTTTGAGATGCGTCCTGTGATTTAGAGGATTATCAGTTTATTTAGAATCCAATTTAGCATTTTTGTAGAAAATTTGAGCATAATTTTCACATTCAAGCAGCACAGATAAATAATTACTAAACGTTAAAAATGGTATACCATCTAATTTACACTTTTTTAATCCTATTATTCTCCCTCTCTCTTTTTTTTTTTTTCTTTTTTTTGGTAGTCTCATTTTCCTGTTAACTCATGTACTGTCTGAGTTATGAAACTTTCTCCTACAAAAATTAAAAAAAAAATTACTGAACCAACTTTTAAAAGTGAATGAGTTGAGATTTTTACTCTTTTACGTTTGATTAATATATTTTTGTTAATATATTTATTTAACTAAAAAAGATATTAATCAAGAATAAAGGATAAAAATTAAGACTCATACATTTTTAAAAAGTATTTGTCAAGATCTAAAAAATTAGGTAATCATGATAAATGCTTTTTGAAATTACATTGGTCAGGATTTTTATTTTTTACTTTTTATTTATAATTTTTTTAATTAAATAATTATACTAATAAAAAAATATTTATTAAGAATAAGAGATAAAATTCTAGATTGACGGTAAATTCTCTATTTTTTCTACTAAATTATGGAACTGTATTGCAGTACTCGTCTCAACTTTAGGGCTTCATATATGAGCCCAAAACATTTAGTAGCTCAGCTCGGACCCGCAGCTTGTAAATGGCCCAAACCCATAAAAGACAAGAAATCCCATATTCATTTCTTCTTAGAGACAGAGAGCCAGGTGCTTTCTCTGTCGCAATGAGGTGTAAAGAAGTAGCGTTTGAAAGCCATGCAAAGCGAAGAATGGCCAAAGATTCCTTACTCAAAACTCCAATACGTGTCTATCCATCAACTCTCTCTCCTCCCTATAAATACCAGCGTCCTCTATTCGCCACTTCACCTCAAACCATTAGTAGTAGCCTCAATTAATCCTACACTCCAAAATGGCTAAGCCTGTTTTGCTGATCTCTCTTTCCGTTTGCCTGCTCGTCCTTTTCCATGGCTGCCTAGCTCGCCCCACCGGGCAGTACCTGCGACAAAACGAGTGCCAGCTCGACAGGCTCGAAGCCCGAGAGCCCGACCACCGCGTCCAGTCCGAAGGCGGCCTGTTCGAGTCGTGGAACCCCAACCACGAGCAGTTCCAGTGCGCCGGCGTTGCCCTCCTCCGCCTCACCATCCAGCCCAATGGCCTTCACTTGCCTTCCTACACCAATGCTCCTCAACTCGTCCACATCATTCGAGGTACGCACTAAAAAAAAAAAAATTAGAAAAACAAGTCATTGAAATTTGTATTATCTGTAACGTGGTAATATATATATATATATATATATATATGTTGTGTTTTATGATTGATTAGGAAGGGGTGTGGTGGGAACCTTGTTCCCTGGATGTCCCGAGACTTTCGAAGAATCTCAGCAAGGAACCAGCCGGAGATCCCAAGATCGCCACCAGAAGCTTCACCACATCAGAGAGGGCGACGTACTCGCATTACCCGCCGGAGTTGCTTACTGGTCCTACAACGACGGCGACTCACCTCTCGTTGTCGTTTCTCTATTTGACGTCAGCAACCACGATAACCAGCTCGACAGATTTCCTAGAGTACGTAAGAACACTCTTAATTTATATTATTAAATTACACGTATATAAAACATGATTTAATTTGTAGTGACATGATTTCTAAGTGAAGTACTGTTGAATAAATTTTGTAGAGATTTAACCTTGCCGGTAATCCACAAGACGAGTTCCTTCAAAGCCGGAGGGAGGAACAATATAGAGAGGGAAGCCATGAGCAGCGCCGACGTGAGGAGCAACATCAAGAACAAGGCTCACGCGTCAACAACATCTTCAGAGGATTCAGCATCGAGTTCATACAGGAGGCTTTCAAAGTCGACTCCGAGACGGCCAGGAGGATCCAGAGCCAAAACGACAAGAGGGGTTCCATCATCAAGCTTAAGGAAAGACTGGACTTGGTCCGACCAGGCAGGTCGAGGGAGGAGCAGGAGCATGAGATGCGCCAGGAAGAGCAGAGGCAAACAGAGAGGGAGCACGCCCGCCGACAGGGCGGAGGCGGCAGATACATGAACGGCGTGGAGGAGACTTTCTGCACCATGAGGCTTCGTGAGAACATCGGTGACCCTTCACGCGCCGACGTCTACAGCCCGCAGGCCGGTCGCCTCAGCAGCGTCAACAGCTACAATCTCCCCATCCTCAACTGGCTGCAGCTTAGCGCCGAGAGGGGTTTCCTCTACAGCGTGAGTATATATAACATTATTGCATATATAACTTCATTGCTCATTAACGTTATGTGTGATATAACATTTACAACATGATTTGCTTCAAATGATACATTTATAACATTCATCAAACTTTTTTGCATGCAGAACGCCTTGTACTCACCACACTGGAACATCAACGCCCACAGCGTGATCTACGTCATAAGAGGCAGCGCTAGGTGCCAGGTTGTTGATGACTTCGGCCGGTCGGTGTTCGACGGCGAGCTCCGCCAGGGTCAGGCTTTGACGGTGCCGCAGAACTTCGCCATCGTGAAGCAGGCCGAAAACGAGGGATTCGAGTGGGTTTCCTTCAAGACAAACGACAGAGCCAAGGTGAACCAGCTCGCCGGCAGGACCTCGTACATTCAGGCATTGCCGGAGGACGTCATCGCCAACGCATACCAAATATCGAGAGAACAAGCAAGGAGGCTCAAGTATAACAGACAAGAGGTCTCCATGTTTAGGACTTCCGAAAGGAGCCCGGCTATTGCTGCCTAAACAATACGCCTTCTATAATTATATGTGTATTAAGTGCTTCATGATGTACTAGGCACGTGTCGTCTTGGTTTTTAGTAGGGTACTTAATTACGCCAGCGAGTAAGAATAATAGCTCTATAAAGTGGCTACGTTATTATGAGGAGTACTTTGCGGGTGTGAGTTTTTAGTTTTAGGGAAAATAACAACAACGTGTACTTTTTGCACCTTGTGAATCTGTATAATAAAAAAAAGTTGTGTGTTTTCGTACTTCTCTGTTGCCAAACTTAACTAATTTTCTCCCAAGCCTAAATTTGAGTTTTATTCGATTATAAACACTGTCATTTTAGAGTTCAAAAATTCATATTTTGCCTTATTGTACTGTTTCCTTGATTTTTTGAAACGGAAATCGGTTTTGCTTTTTATATACAATCTTTCTGTTACTAGCTAGACAAAAAAAGGATAATATTAGAAAATAATAGTTAGAGATCTGTGTAGGTATAATTTCCTTGTTGAAAGGTAATGATACTAATGTATATATTTTATATTATATATCAACACGATTCGGGTCGTGTGTTCTCTAATAGCACAATTTTGTCATCTCAAATTTATTTTCTCTCTTTATTTTTCTTTTAAACGAACCGCTAGCAATATTGTTATTTGAATTTTTAAACTGTATGATACAAGAATTACGTCATATAGTAGTCATATAGATTATAGGCAAACTTTTTTTTTTTCTTTTACAAAAGGTTAATTAACATACAATATGATCACCAATGAGATGACCGGCTTCTCTTAACTCTAGAAAGGAAAAAAACACACAAAAACAAACAAATTAGCCACATCTGACAATAGATTTAGGTTGGTTGACCCCGTCGCACGACGCACCTCCGGCGAGCCCAAAAAGCTGCTTGTGTTTTGTTTAATTTTCTTCATATTCTGTTTGTTTGATTTTGGTTTGTTCGCCAAAAAGCTGATTCTCCTCTGCAATTCTTCTGAGAAATGAATAAATATGTCCAGGAAGAAGAAAACCAAACAGCCCCTCCCAAATCCACTCCCAAGATAAAGCGAAATCTCCCCGGAATGCGATCTCTTAATTATTATTTTACTTTTCTGTTCAAAATCTTTTTTTTTTTTCCTGTTGTTATATCCAGATGCTGAGGTGATTGCTTTGCCCCCGAAGATGCTTCTGGCAAGGAACCAGTTCAAATGCCATGGACTTTTTTGGTTTGTGTTTTGTTGATTTTGGTTAAAGGATTTTTCTCTCCCTCAGATTGTGTTTTGCTTGATTTTGATTTGTGTTTTGTTCGATTTTGGTCTGTGTTTTATTTGATTTTTGTTGGATGATTTTTTATCTCAGATTATGTTTTGATTTTTTAATATTATCATGTCTTTTTCTAAATTTTTTTAAATGCTTTAAAATATTTTGAGATTTTTTAACAAATTATTAGTTTCTATTTAATTAATAAGAGGATATAAAGAACATTTTACATCTAAAAAAAAATCAAAAGAAAATCAAAAGAAAATTTTTTAAAACATCAATTTATCGACATGAAATTATTAAAAACACATAATACTAAACTCATATTTTAATATAATATAGATATTAAAATAAAATTTTCTCTTCCCAGAGCTTGAACTACGTCCTTGCCCTTGCCCTTGGGGTTTGTGGTTCGCATGCTATTAATGCCAATGGAATGGCATTCAATGCAAAAATGGGACAAATTTTTATATTCTTGCTAGTACTCTAGCATAGTGTTTGTAAACACATTCAATCCTATTATTATCGAGATGTAGGTTTTTTGCTTGTAGGGATTAGAATTCCGAGTCCAGAATATAACTGAAACAAAATTTCAGCCCGGAAAACACGATCACTCTTAACCGAAACCCTAGCTTTTTCTTCCAAAAATGGAAATTGAAACTGAAAAAATCCACTACCCAAGGAAATAATATCTTGTGCATGTACATAATTGTAGGCTTTATGTATAGCCTTAGTTATAACATAATGTTTGCTCTAAAAAGACGACAGAATCATCACATAAAGTAAACGAGAGATTCATGTATGGTAATCTAATAAAATTTAAAAATTTAATAAAAATTTAAAACTGCAGTAACGAAGTCGTTTTAGGAACCTATTAATCTAACAGACTTCTGCCATCCATTAGTAAGAAATTGATCACACTTTTTGGAATAATTGTTTAATTAGTAAAAACAAATATGAGAATATCACATATATATATATATATAATTTTTTTTTTCAAATTTAATTTGCTGAACAGAGGGATTAAATTGATTTCAAAATTCGAAAATATTAATTGAAATAATAACAAAATACAAAATAAATATGCGAATAGCTTTTTCCCTTGTACTAAATACTAATGCAGTGTATATATGCAACAGTACTATGGTCCGCACTAATTAAAATAAGTCACTGAACTGAAAGCAAGCGCACCGATATTTCTATGTCAATCCATGTACATGTGAACATCATATTGATATTACATAATTTGCCACTTTGATTGCAAAAATATAAGATGCTCAATATATATCCACATTATGGTAAATTGGTGTTAGATCTGTTGGAACATGGTCTAAAGACGACTTAATTAATTAAGATCTGGATTAATTACGTACAGTTGCTCGAGTAGAATAAAGTGCAGAAATCAAAAGAACACACAATATGATATCGCAGTTCGGTGTGCACACCTACATCTGCGGGGTCACGCCCAGACAATAAACAGTTCACTATGTTCTAGAAATTACAGACACTGGACGGACTTATTCACTCAAAGACTCCCTCCTAGACAATGACGCCGCTGTGATGAATCTCCACAGTGATTGTTTAGCATGCACTACACGACTTCTATTCACCTGGTGAACTCCCTTCGACCGGCATAGCTTCCTCCCGAAAGCAACAAATTCCTCTCCTGAAGGACGATCTCAATAGCGCACTAGGCTCACCAAAACTCACAGACTCTTTTCTGAAAATATTCTCTTAAACCCGTATTTCTTCTGAGCAACCTTGAGGTATTTTCTTTTATAAAGCTTCTAAAACTCCCTTTATTTCACGTTAATCACATAGGCCCCATAACAAATCTCTTAACCCACCAAGATAGCTTATTCAATTTCTCCAAGTAATATGTATATTATCTTATCTACACAAACAACTTTGCTTCATTATCTCCTTAATTTTCCCAACAAAACATCCACCAAGTATTGCATGTAAGGCAAGTAGATAATGTCAAAGTAAATTGAAAACATCCAACATGCTTCCAGCCAATTATGCGCATCTTCATTATCTCCACGTGCACAATATCTTCACAATGGCTTAGTTATCACATTGGCTCCAAGTGGATAACATCACGTAAATTTCAAGTGCCAATATATATATATATATATATATCCCAAAGATAAACTAAGCTTGATCTCCACTTTAAAATCAAATCGATATCTCCTTTATCTCTTTCTAGAATCACATTTAAATTCAAATAACCAATGCATTATCTTTCTTTGACCAAGGCCTTATCCTTATCTTTCCAAGTCTGATTCTGAATCTTTTTTTGTAATACCAAATCTTCTTGTTTTTTGAATTTTTACAAGAATTGGCCATTCTTATCTTTCCAAATCTGATTCTGAATGTTTTTCTGTAATACCAAATCTTCTTGTTTTTTGAATTTTTACAAGAATTGGCCATTAATAAAAATACCTAACATAATCTAACACATCTTTTGATACAATATCGAATGGAAAAGTTAGGCACCCTGCAGACTGGCCTGTTTCGAAACAGGCGAAATGAGGTGTAAGAGAAACTATGGTTTGATGCAGAGAGCCACCTGCCTGTTAGACGAAATGAGGTGTAAGAAACTAGGGTTTGATAACCATGCAAACTGAAGAATGGCTAAAGATTCCTTGCACATAACTCCCTACGTGTCTCTCCCTTGCCTCTCAATTCCCATTATAAATATCGATGCCTACTAGTCACCACTTCACTTCAAACTATAATCTGTAGCCGCTTCCCATCTATTGCTCCAATATGGCTAAGCCTGTTTTGCTTTCTCTTTCCGTTTGCCTTCTCGTCCTTTTCCATGGTTGCCTAGCTCGCCGCACCGGGAAGTACCAGCGACAGGACGAGTGCCAACTCAACAAGCTTGAAGCCCACGAGCCCGACAACCGCCTCGAGTGCGAAGCCGGCACGGTGGAGTCATGGAACCCTAACCACGAGCAGTTCCAGTGTGTTGGCGTAGCGCTGGTCCGCACCACCATCCAACCCAACGGCCTTCACTTGCCTTCCTACTCCAATGCTCCCCGACTCGTCCACATCATACGAGGTAGTACCATATATCTTTTCACTATTTAATTGACAAATTTTAGAACCGACGTGTATTTAATTACGTTTCAATTTTTGACTCAAAAATTTTGTTCTTATTGTATTATATGTTACTAAATGGGCATCTTAATTTTTAAAAAAAATATTCCACTTGGTGAAATATTCTGCTGCAACTTCCATTTTCTAATATTGGTCATTTAGACCATCAAGAAGTCGCACCCCTAATTGACTAACTTATATTTTTGTAATAGCAAAAAGGTAGTAAATGTAAATTTTTGTATTTTGCATTGTGATTCAGGAAAGGGTGTCCTGGGACTTGTGTTCCCTGGTTGTCCTGAGACATTCGAAGAATCTCAGCAAGGAACCAGCCGGAGCTCCCAAGACCGCCACCAGAAGATCCAACACTTCAGAGAGGGTGATGTCATCGCATTGCCTGCCGGAGTTGCCTACTGGTGCTACAACGACGGTGACTCACCTGTCGTATCTGTTTCTCTTCTTGACGTCAGCAACCATGATAACCAGCTTGACAGAAACCCAAGAGTGAGACCTAATATTGCCGTGCATGCTCCGTTTTGAAAAAAAAGAAAAAGAGACACTAAACCGTCACTTATAAGATATGCATTCTAATTAGAACTTTGGCCCAATTTGTAGAGATTCTACCTTGCTGGTAAACCACACAATGAATTCCTTCAGAGCAGCAGACGGGAACAATACAGGGAAGGAAGCCAGGAGCGCCGCCGTGAGGAGCAACAACAAGAGCAAGGCTCACACGTCAACAACGTCTTCAGCGGATTCAGCGTCGAGTTCATACAGGAGGCTTTCAACGTCGACGCCGAGACGGCAAGGAGGATCCAGAGCCAAAACGACAAGAGAGGTTCCATCATCAGAGTTAAGGACAGATTGCAGTTGGTCCGACCAGGCAGGTCTAGGGAGGAGCAGGAGCACGAGATGCGCCAGGAGGAGCAGAGGCAAACGGAGAGGGAGCACGCTCGCCGACAGGGCGGTAGCCGACACAATGGCGTGGAGGAGACCTTCTGCACCATGAGGCTGAGGGAGAACATCGGCGACCCTTCACGCGCCGACGTCTACAGCCCGCAAGCCGGTCGCGTCAGCAACGTCAACAGCTACAACCTCCCCATCCTCAACTGGCTGCAACTTAGCGCGGAGAGAGGTTTTCTCTACAGTGTGAGTAAATTACTTTATTGCACAGATAGTATAAATTTTTTTATATTTCCTTTTATTTATAAAGTAGAATGTAGGATGGATGAGTTTTTGATTATATATATTGGGATCAATAAAATTTCTAATTATTACTTTACACATATAGCATATATATATAGTCAAAATTGATTCATAAGTCTATTGTTTTGAAAAACTATAAAATCAACATTATTAAGAAAACACGCTTTTTCTTTGTATTGTAGATGTATGCATGTCATGAAGTTTGGACGAATTGACGACTGCCACAATATAACGCGAGTGTTTCAATTTGACATATATAATTTGTATTAAATAATGTTAAGAAAACCGCAAGCGTGTTTTGTCTCACATAAAAATTGTGTAGATGTGAAATGACTTATATAGATGAAAAGACATAATTTTTTACACATATAGTAAAATTTTGATAGCAAAATTTAAATGTAGCAAAAATTTTGAAATATTATAAGAACATCAGAATTTTATATAATTTTCATGCCATTAAAAATAATATATGATATCATTATAATAATTATTATGTCATTTTTGCTAATATATTAAAAATTGTTTAATTTCAACTCATGGATATGATCTTGAAATTTTACCAGTACTGTAATTATTTCTAATTAATATTCACCATTTTCCATTTGAAAAAAAAAATTAGTTGAGTTTTTGTTTCTATTTATTCCTAGTTTTGACGTACCTGCATGATATTCTTAATCAAACATTCTCGCATGCAGAACGCAATGTACGCTCCACACTGGAACATCAATGCCCACAGCGTGATCTACGTGATAAGGGGCCGCGCCAGGTGCCAGGTGGTTGATGACTTTGGCCGTTCAGTGTTCGACGGTGAGCTCCGCCAGGGTCAGGCCTTGACGGTGCCGCAGAACTTCGCCATCGTGAAGCAGGCCGAAGACGAGGGATTCGAGTGGGTTTCTTTCAAGACAAACGACAGAGCCAAGGTGAACCAGCTCGCCGGCAGGACCTCGTACATTCAGGCATTGCCGGCGGACGTTATCGCCAACGCATACCAAATATCGAGAGAACAAGCAAGGAGGCTCAAGTATAACAGACAAGAGGTCTCCATGTTTAGGACCTCCGGGAGGAGCAGGGCAGCTGTTGCTACCTAAATGCCTCTTAATGATAATAATTAGTAGTAATTAAGTACCTTATGATGGACTAGGCACATGTAGTCTTGGCTTTTAATTGGTAGGGTACAATTAGGCTGCAGGCGAGTTAATAATAATAGCCTCATAGATTGGCTATGTTATCAAGAGTTTGATTGTGTGAGTTCTTAGCTTAAGTACAATAACGACTACGTGTCCCTGCTGTACCGTTTGAATCAGTATAATATATATTAAATATAAAAGAATGTGTTCTAGCAAACTTTTCTACCTGGATTAATTTCATTTTGGGTCCCTGTTAGCCTTATTTTTAACTTCAAAATGGTACAAATTACTCTTTAAGGGATGGTTAGGGTCCCATATTTAGCTTTCAAGTCCCATAAATCTTTAAAAACTTAACATAATTAATATCGTGTGAACTTCATACTTTTAAGAAGGCGTAGTCGTGAACTGAATATTACCTTCTTAATAAGAAGTGTGAACTTCATATTATTTGTTAATAAATATTATTTTAAATAAATATTCACGCCTTTAACATGAATTTAATTAAATTTAGTCTTCACATGCCACACCCGCCCACATCTCGTGTAGAATGTTCTGTACTCATTTATTAAGCAAGAATCGTCAAGTTGTTGACAAATTCTGTAAGTGATGAGCCAAACATGAAATAAGTAGCATAATTTAGGATAAAGCTTTTAATGTTTTGAAGTTTGGGGGGCCAAAATAGGAGAAGGAACATAGTTTGGGGGCCAAATGTAAACCTTAATTTCTACCAATTGATCAAAAACTCTTTTAACTATAAAAAATTTCCTGATTTCTGGTGAGCCTAACAGTACAGTCATGGCATATAGAATAATATTAGAATTATAAAATTATATTAATATTTAATTATATTAATTATTATATTATTATTAATATACTAAATATAATTATATCAATACAATATAATATATAATATATTATAAAATAATAATTACAATATCATATTAAGATTATATTATAATTATAATATCATATTATTAAAATAATTATAGTATTATTATAATATCATATTATATGATAAAATAATAATATTAGAGTTATTAATATAATATGCATTATATTGTAATTATAATATAATATAATCATTATTTTTAATTATTTCAGTTATTATTTTAATAATATTATTATATTCTATATCATAATTATATAATAATAGTTTTTTGTATTATATTAAATATGATAATAAATATATATTGTATTGTAATTATATATATTATATTATAGTATAATATAATATAGTCGTAATTTTTAACTATCCACAGCAATTCAACCTCATAATTTACTAAACGCTATTACACTAATTTTAGAACTAGCACAGCTACTATAATTATAGTTTATCAAACACTCACCTGCTTTTTATAACAGCTGCTTCTTCCTTCAGCACAGCTAAAAGCATGTTTTTCAAAATCTACAATACTACCAAACTAAGCCTAATTACCTTAAGGCCTTTGTTTAATTTGGGGATCAAGGAGGAAAATAGTATAATTGGTAAAGTAATCAGTAAATTATAGCATATTTTTTAAAAATAGTAAATTATAGCATAATTTGATATTTTAAGTTTTAAAAATTATTCAAAATCTAAAAATACCCATAAATCTCCTTTTCCACCTCATTCCTCCTCCTAAACATCTATTTTTTTTTTTAAAAAATAAATCATAGCATATTTTTTAAAATAGGTAGATTCTACCATGACCCGAACCGGCAACCGGTTCCAGCAACCGGAGACCATTTTCCGGCAACCTGTAACCATTTTTCGGTGACCCGTGACTAGTTTATTGCGACCGTTTAACATTATATTTACTGATAAATACCGTATTTACTAGTAAATATTATATTTATCCGGAAAGCCGACCACCAATTTTGGTGACCGTTTAACGCTGTATTTATAGATAAATATTGTATTTACCAATAAATACCGTATTTACTAGTAAAACTTGTTATTTTTCTCCCCCACTTAAAACAATTTTCTGCCCACTTAATTAGATCACCTCATTTTTATTCTCAACACCTTAATTTCCATTTGATATATTATGTTTCTCCCTTATTAGCAATTAATTCTTTCTATATATACTTTTTTTTAGAACAATTTTTATCTAACAAAAAACTATGTTAAGATTTATTGGCTTTACAACTGTAGCAAATAATTAGAAGATAAATAATAGTGCAAAATCAAAGCCAACTTCACAGTATTATTCTCAATTGTAATAATTTTTTAGACCTAGAAATTCAAAAAACTTATATGAAATACTTTAAGGTGTGAGTACTCAATTTTATAATTATAAAATGTTGATTAACACATAAAAATTTATCCAATTTTCTATCTATATATATGAATTCATGTTTTAATATAACAACTTATATTAATGTGTCCTCCAGTAAAATAATATTCTGAATCCGTTACTAAATTAAAAGTTAGATATATTCATCTATTTTGGTCTGACGCTCAACGTTCTGCGTCAAATTTTAACATCAACTGTTGTAGTGTATATATAAATAAATAAATAAATAAATAAATAAATAAATAACGTATGCGTAGAATCCAATTTTACTTGGTACAACTACATGCCAATTGCAAATCGCTAACCGAACACAAGTGGATGAGGTAGTAGATAGTACTCGGATTGGGTTCATACATCTCCTTTTTTCCATTTTTTTTATCCTCTAAATAATAACATTCTGCGCTATGATTTTTTAATTAACGTGATAAGAGTAATATTTTAAAAATAATATTACTGAAAAAAGATGAATAAGAAGAGACATGAGTTGGTTCCGTAATACTGACCTAAGTTAAACAACTAAGTTAAACAATTATAAAAATAAAGATTGTAAATTAATTAAGAGTACTAGTTGGCTAGCCTGCAGATCATGACCCGCCTATACATGAACCATACCTAATCAATATCTAAAATGATCAATGCAAGAAATCTCTCGCAATTTTTATCGTTACAGACGTAAATTATATATGAATGGACTATCTGGGATGGCATATATATTAGAAGCGCAAAAGATTGAACTAGAAGATAAGATGAAAATAAAAATCTGGAAGAATTCTGAGTGGGTAGTGTAAGCATCTAATATGGTCAAAACAATATCAAAAATACATAATCTAATGAAGGACAAAAACCCCACCGGGTTTGAGAGCTTCTAAAGCCTTGTTCCTATTCTCAGAATGATGGTGTAATTAAGAAAAACGGAATGGCTTTAGGGACCCAAACAACGTTTCGATTATAGACTTTTGTCCATCACAAAGTCTCCGAAAACAATCCTGTAGATCATGGGATTTTTGGACTAATTTCAGTAGTTTCCCAAATGCTAAAATTCTTATTGGGAATCTGAAATGGAGGATTTTTGGGCCACTTTATTGTTTCCCAAATTTGGTTTCATACCAAAATTGTTCACATTTACGTGAATTATGAAGAAAAAATTAACAGATATTGTACACACTTCACCTCGTCAAATTATGATTTTAAATTTTTTTCTAAAATAAACCGGTTGGTCTCCTTTGACGTACTAAGACAATTTCTTAACATAAAGGAACTCCCATTTATGCTAGTATGACAAAATTATCAGACCGAGAAATTAAGGAGTAATGTAAATGAACATTTGATCGAAACAGAGCCACTCCATATTACTATTATCATAAACTTTAAATTTTTATTAGCTCTCTTCAAAAGTAGACGAAATACTTAGTACTAATAGAACCTCTTCTCATACATGATTCTAAGAAAGCAAGAAAAACAGCCAATAAAAGGCTGTTCATTATTTGCTACCACCTAAAAGCTCGTACACTCTCTACTTAGTCGGAACATATTGCGGATATTTAGGCAACAGCCCTCCTCTCAGAAGAGCTGGAAGAGCTCAAAAGGAAGGTTTCTTCCCTGTTGTACTTGAGCCTCTGGGCCTGGTCTCTCGAGATCTGGA